ACCGATGGAGAATCCGGTAAGACATAAGGTGGAGCGGTCGTGCCTATCGAGGGTATATGAGTGTCACATTGTCGATCCGCGAAGTTGGGACCGTTTGCTGTGATCATGTTAACAGGCTTGTTTGACTGATAGTCCTTGATATGATCAAGTTCAGTTCTGGAGATCAAATCTTGTGCGCTACCGGTGTCGGCTATCCACTCCATGTCAACTGTAGGGGCGGACTTAGCTTCTCGAGCTGGACACCCAACCGTTAGGTTGGGGGCAATGCACTTGTCACAGCCAAACTCGGTCTTGCAACAAAACCTGCATGCGGGTCTAAGCCCTTGGTTCATTCCCTCGATGGTGGNNAGCATTCTAGCACTTGCCTGAGCATCCATTAAGTCCTGATCATCCCTTCTTGGTTTGTAGTCGACAGTCGACAGGACACTCCTTTCGAAACTCACGGGGCTCCTGAGAGACTGGCCTCCAATTGCTTTCTTCAGGAGGTGTTGGGATATGATAGAACTCAGGTTGCCCTGAAAACTTCACCGATGCCAAAGCTGAGTAAGTGGAGTTTGAACACACGATGTCATGATTCAACGTATCCTTCCGGGACGCGAGTGCATCGGCTTGGGACGCTGAACCTGCAACTAATGCGCTCAAGAGACACACGGCTGCTGGAAGAGAAGGCTTGGGCGATCGTCGTCCCTTGTCCGAGCCCTTGCTTCCCTTGGAACCTCGGCTGCCCTTGGAGCTCTTAGAGCTGGACCGTGACGACTGACTTACGCTTTTTATCTTTCTTCTTTTTGTATTTCCTCTTTTCACCGCTGGACTCTCTTCCACTGCCAGGGGCTGGAGCACTCGGCTGGCCCTTGTGAAAGAATCGGAAAGAGTCGCCTTTTGTGCAACGGCCGTGTTTGAAGAACTTGCATTCAACATTGATACGACCTGGTGAGGGGCTCCCCCTTCCGGAGGGCGATTTACCTCTGCCTTTTCCCTGTCCGCCACCCGTACTTGGCGTCCTGCCACGTGGCTTCTCTGGCATTTGGTGCTTACACTTGCACTGATCCTTGCTGCAAGATCCGTTTTGGACGTAGTCTATGCAAAAGCCTTTGGGCACCCGCTTTCGCGGTGCGGGCGCTGTTGGCATGCCGGCCGCTGCAGATTTCGCGATCCGTTCGCGATTCTTTTCAAGGCGTTTAGCCTTGATGGACCGGTTCGCAGCCGCGTATAGGAAAGCGTAAGATTTCTCTCTCGTTCCGTCCATGGCCCTCTCGTAGATGGCGATGTCATGTGAAAGCTCTTTGGACTTTGTCACCTGTCTGTGGAACAAAGGTTCTAGGACATCGTTAGCCGGTGTTTTCTTCATACCTGACAATCCGGTGTCCCAGTTTCACAAACTGGACGAGGCTGTCATTTATCATGACTACATTCAGCAGATCTTCCATGTCGTAGACAGACCCGTGAAGCGCGTTTGTGGCCAGGTATGCGTCTAGTTTCCACAACACCTGACGACCTCGCACAAGACGTCCCTCGTGTCCTTCGCGTTCTTTGAATGTGTCGATCTGGCGTGCAAAATCGCCTTCGAGAACATTTGTTATCGCAGACAACACCTTTGCATCAAGGGTAGTGAACCCGCTAGGGTCACGGAGCATTTCTTCGGTAGTGGACTCGTCCCAAACTTTGGAGAGCCATTCGAATGACTCGTCTGGGCGATCTGACGCCGCTACCAAAGCCTCGCGAACCCTAAGTCTCCAGTTCCGGCATTTCTCCGGTTGCGGAAACTTCGGAAAGACTACCTTCTCTGCTTCCTTAGGAGCTCTGGCTCTACCCCTTTGCTCCTTTTCGTCATCCGCGTCATCTTTCTCCTTCTTCGACTTCGTGACTTTCTTCAACATTCTCAAGAGGTCCTTTTTGGACAGGCCAATGGACGAGGATGAACTTGACGAATCTCGCTTCTTCTTTTTCTTATTCCTTTTCTTTTTCTTTTTGTGATTATCATCACTACCGTCATTGTCATCGGAATCGTCGGGATCACCATCATCTGGTGGACCTGCACCTCCGGTGTTGCCAGCCATTCCTGGCGGCGTAGCAATGCCATGATACGACGGAGTGCCCCCCAGTTGTGAGGCATGCGTTGGCACCGACGCAATTCCTGTTGGTGATGCCGCAGCTTCCGCTATAGGCGAGTTCTCAACGCAGCATTGACCTTTTCAAGTCTTGACAGATTGCCGCTTTGTGCGTGATGGTATTTCATGAATTCTGCCATCTCGGATCGGAGTTGGTGGATTTGACCCGCCATTGAGTCAGCTGCGAATTGCGCTTGGGTTTTGGCCGCGACTTCCTTTTGAGTCTGATTGACTACGTCACTAACAACAGCCTCGGCGTGACTGAGCTTGGCCTCAGCATCTGAACTTCCCGTTGCATTTGGGCGACTTCTTCTAGATGTCTACTAGCCATGCTTTCGCCGGCTGCACGCATCGCATCTTCCTGATGTTGTAGACGGTTTTCGGCTTGGACGAACTGGAGTCTAAGCCTTGCAGCGCCTGACATTGCATCCTGCTGTAGCCTTGCATACTGCTCCCTTTTCTTTCATTCATAATAGCTGAATGTCTTGCGTCAGCTTCAGCAGCTACGGCAGGCCCAGTATCATTCTGGACAAGAACTTGTTGATTGAGGGTAAGCGCAAGAATTCGATTCTGATAGAAGTTCGCTATTTGGGCGACCTCGGTCGGTGAATACTGCATAGATGGTGCAGCTGCTGGCGACCCCGCTAGGAGTGCGTTTGCAGGGGATGTTGTATTGACATAATCCCATTCTGATTTCGCACCTCTTATAGACCTTCGGGGATCATCTAAGCCCAGCAATGCCAAAGATCTATCATTCAATGGCAAAATGGCTTCACCCTCTCGGGGTGCGAGAGCAGCCTGATCCGTGGTATCTTCTTGAACGGACATACCAGGAAGTGACGTGATCTCGCTTGTTCTTGGAAAGCAAGGTAAGGTACTGTAAAGGTATTCCTGCAGGATTTACGGAGCTGAATCCATAGCGAACCAATCGTCAGAGTGTGAGACCTGCGGCTGATAACCTATGTTTATAGGCAGAACAGCCAGAATGCACGCACATATTTTTCTTGAGCCAAACAAACAGTCGTAGGTGAATTCTAGCTACATCTTCAGCAAACAACAACATCCAGAAAACGGATTTCGGGTGCGCCAGCCAGGACTACAACTTGCAAGGCTGAAAGGTAGGCTTGTCGATGGTAGGGTGCAATGGACAGATCGACCTATGGCCTGAAATGTGATCAAGTTCGAGGAACATTTCAAACATCCGATATCTGTGAAGACTTTCTAGCCGATTCTAGCCAACACCTAAGCCCCAAACTCAACCCCTCCCAAACCTTGAGCTCGAAACCCAACCTTGAAGCCATGGGCGTAGAGAAACTCCACGGACGTCGAGGTGGCATACTTCCTGGCTTCTGAGGTTCAAAGCCTGTAACGCCAGTATGGGTTTGGAGGTCTCATAGCTTGGGATAGGGCCTTTTGCCTCCTACTTAGCAAGGACGAGCCCGCATTGCAGGGTAAAGTGCTGTTTAAGGCAAGCCAATTAGGCCGAAGACTTGGGATAGGGCTTGCGGCTAAGGCTTCGGTTTTAGGCCTAAAGAAGTCTGATTTGGGCATGAGGTAGCTCGGTCCGTTCATGGGGTTCATTCCGGGGCTACAGGCTTCACCAAAGTGGTCATTGTGTCGCCCACCCTCGTTGGCGACCCTTTTCCGAACGTTTTATATCCATGGCTTGAAGCCTGAAGCAGCATCGCACATCCCATCGAGGATACAGAGCCTTAAACAGCCCGCTGAAGGTAAAGACATACAGTCCAGACCCTAAGACTCTCAAAAAGCTCAGCTCAAGACATCTCGTCGCCAAGCTACCCCTGCATGTGCTTCTGCACCAGCAATGTGATGGACGTCTCAGCAGACCGAGAAGGGTCTCGACGGTCACCGGCGGCCAAGGCAGGGTTAGTTTAGGGCTGAAGGGTTGCAGAAAGTAGGGTATTGGCCTTAGCCCAATACCCCGAAGCCCTCAACTCGAACCCTAAGCCTGAAAGCATCTTAAACCTTAACCTCCAGACAAAAAGCCCCACATTGCTTGCAAGACCTTGAGAAGGTCCTTAAACACTTGATCCACATCTAAAAGGGATGTACGAGAGGCTTGCCAGGTGCGCCGGCGTGTGGCGAAAGATGCGGCCTTCTGGGAAGCTACGGGGGATGGCTTCGGGTTTGGGGCCGTAGGCTTAGGATCCTTAGTATACGGACTGTCAAAAAACCCGAGCTCTGGTTTCGGCTTCTGCTTCCAAGTGTCAAGCGCTTGGGGTGGGGATTTATGGCAAGGCAATTTTAAGGTTTTGGGGGTTGGGAGTTTGACGTTTCAGGAATTGCGGCTTAAGGGGGTTTTGATGCTTGGGCTTTGGGGCTCAGGGCCTTTGGGTCTTCGATCGTACTGGTTGAAGCTGTATTGCAGAAGCTCAGCAGCAAAGCACCGTCAACAGTTTTGCTATTCGTCCCCAATGCTGAACTCAAACCAATTTCATGGCACATCCGCACAAAGTTCAATAACCCATTAAGGACTCAAGCATTAAACCCAGACCGACAACCCTTGCCAACAACAACTCCATGGATAGTTATACCGCAGGACACTACTCGACTCTTCCACCCTGAGGTCTCACGACTCGATTCTACGACATTACACGGCTCGGCGGAGTTCGAACCCTAACTGAGCAACAGCTGCGATCTCGCAATGTCTGCTGCACCTGGGCCTTGTGAATAGGTCAAGCACTCTCCGATCCAAAGGTCAGCCACAAGTGAAGATCTTCAGTCGTCCGAACGCTCGCTGGCCGATCTCCCCAAATACGTCAAGATCAGAATGATCAGACATACCAGCATGGGCAAGCGAACGAGCACTCAGACATACCCGGCCCCGGGAGAATATTCAGGCGGTGGAGTGGGAGTCATCGAATATTTGGGCGATTACCTAAACCCAAAATCGCCACGGGAGTCGAAGACATGCCCCAATACCCTGTAAACACCCTAAGGGGCGGCGACGAACCTGAGAGCCTAAGTGGATCCACCCACATGTTAGACCGCTCGGCAAACCACGGGACGGAAGTTCTTCCGCTTCTCCTCTTGCACCGGCTGCGGTCGCTGAGACCTGTCTTCGATCGAATGCTAACAACAAGACCGTCTTCATGCCGTCAAGAATGCTCGCGAACGGCGACGTATGGAATCGAAATGACCGGTTCGAGTTCTGTGAGAACATCGACCGAACTGGCAGCGATTGAAATTCTTTCTTGCGCGAGCCAGTCCTGGAGTGGACTCACCAAGCGACCGTCGCGAGTATCAAGGATGAGGAGAAAACTCTCCCGGCCACCGATTGCCCTGCTGACGATCTTTTTCAGAGATTGGACCTCGACTGCGAGAGCGTGCGGCGAGCAGGAGGGAACGCCCCAAACAGAGGCGATCATTCCAGCAAACACGGCCTCGAATCACTGTCGTGCGACGAGACTAACCCCAAAATTCCAACCTACCGTTATCGCGGGGTCCAAAGGGGGTATATCACCTAGTAGTCCCCAATTCTTCCTAGTACTCCCTAAGCGTGCCCAAGGATCCCAAGTGTCCTCCCCCCGAACCACCCTTCCTTAAGGATTCTAGGATACCGAGCCCATATTTGGGCAACATAGAAATCTCGTATGTACTGCATGCCGCTTGTATGTATAAAGAGGCCTCCTTTTTCGTCAGATTGATCAGCTCCCATCGCAAGGCCGTCCAGCTGGCATGGCGCGCACAGTTCAGATCCGGGAATGCCTGAAGAGGGAGAAGTTGTGTCTAACTTGGAGGTCACGGCGTAGGATGTCGGGTCAAGGGTTCAGGGTTTACCGGATTTAAGCCCTCACCCTTGGAGCCTGGGTCAAGGGCTCAGGGTCTTCAACGTTTAATGTCAGGCTTTGATTAATAGATCGAGAAGATTCACACCAAGATGAATCAGAGTACGGTATGTGGTATATTGACTACCGAATAGACATGCTCAAATAGTGCTGGCAAGCTGCATCAGGAAAGTTGTGGAAACCACTTGCAATTCGCTTGAATGGCGCTTTTGTTCCAACTAGCTGACGGGGTTCTGGAATTGAAGTTGCTTGCATCAGCTTCAAGACCCAAGCTTTCGGTTTAGGGCTTCTAGGCCAGGCTTTCCGTTCCCAGCTTGAAGCATGAACCGTCCTTTGTTGGGCGGCCGCTCTATCAAGGATCCCGCAATTTAGACCCCTTCTTGGGGTCAGAACTCCTCACACTTCAACTCTGTACGGGGCATAATAAATAAAGTCGGGAAACGCCGACGGAGGCTGCCCGAAGTACTCGCCATACAGTTGAAACTGAACATGATTACGAAACTGCACATGGCGTAAATTGAATCCCGGTCATCAACGGCCCCTGCGAAGCGGAAGCCTGGATTGGGGCTTCGAGAACTCGTACATGAGACTTCGGCCAAATTAACAGCAACCCGCGAATCATCCATAACCAACGTTCCGGCTTTCCTGACCCCACAAAAGAAAGTCCCGGGCAACCACCCACTCATCCATCATAAGTTGACACATTGCTCAGCAGTTTCAAAAGAACTATCGCAGCAACTCTTCTTATGTTCCAGTGCCCATAACTTGGCGAAACACCGTAGTGAAAACAAGTACCCAAGATAGGCATAAAGGAACATAGCAGTATGCAATCAGAAAACTATGCCAGCTAGCAGGTCCACATCATCTCCATGCACAGTCAATCTCGGTATGGGGTTTAGGGATCCAACCACCCAAGCCGGGAGCCCACGGCACCTGAAACCGTAAAGCTCTAAAGCCCACCTCCTGCAAGCGGCTGAAATTCCAGCTCTCGGCTACACCCGGTGCGGCCTCCAATAGAGGGCTTGAACAGGGCAAGCGTGGTGGTTTTTACTTTTTGTTGATCGCCTCTTTTCGTTCCGTGCAGGTACCCGAAGTTAGAATGCCATGCCCATGCTGGCTGAGGCAATACCACACGGCGATCCAACCATCGTCCACCCTAGCTGAACTCCAACACCGCACCCCCCTTTGCGGCTTCCAAGCTTAAGGCTCAGGGCTTTTGGGTTTTTTAGGCTTAGAGTTTCGACTCGTACAGGCTTAGCATGTAGGCTTCAGGTTCAAGGCTGTAGGATGGTTAAAGGTTGAGGGTTGTACTTCGATCTAATGTCAACACGACTGCCACTCCTAGTAGGAGGAAATCTTCGTCTATATAGTGGCCACTGTGGCTTCGAATCTTGCTGTTAGCAGCAGAAGAGCATCAAACTGCATGACGCACTGCTTGTAGCTTGAGACTTCGCACGTGTGGGATTTTGATCGCCTCACCCCGGAGGCCCTGAAGCACAGAAGCGCCGCTGACTGTTGACAAAGAAACTGCCAGCCAATATGTCCAAATCTACAGAAACACACGCCACAGGGAACTCAGTCGAACAAGTACCGGCTCCAGGAGTAATTAGACTGGAAACTCTGAGTACAACATGCTAAGCCCTTTCCAGACTCCAGAGCATCATCCATATGATCTAAGACCACACACGACGGCACGCACGCGCGCGCACGCGCACACACACACACACACACACACACACACTTACTTACTTACACTTTTTCTTCACTTCAATTCACTCCGGGGTTCGAGGAGAGTTTCAAGCTCCCCGCGCCGAAAGGCGCGCCCCTGTTTCGGGGCTTTGTAAGGGAAAGGACGAGCACCTCTGAAAAAGGCATGGTTAAGTGTCTCTCTTGCTTCAGAGCTAGGTGTCACTCTCTCTCTCTCTCTCGCCCTTGCTTTCTCTAGTCGGGTATGGCTGCCAAGCGTGCGACAACCGAGACCACGGCCGTCGGGACAGTCCAACCGCACCAGCTCGCCGTCTGCTAGAGAGCCATGCCTCGTCTGCCCAGGTCGTTTTATCGACAGGGCTAATGGGACCCGCGACAGGGTCCAAGGACACTGCGCGATGTTGAGAACTTCGGGCTCTGCGAGATCCCCCACAAGGGGGTCTTGGACCTGGGAGCGGGTAGGACAGATCCTTTTGACTGTGCAGTTGTGGGATTGCTCGGGGCAAATGCCGATGCCACGCCGGGCTCACATCCTTGGGCTTCACTTTTTTGGGTGGAAGGATGCGTTCGTAGTTCACAGCCTATTGCCGTCGTGTCCTTGTCTGCAGCTACCTCGCTCCACTTCCACTTCGCCTTTGTGACAGACGATGTTCAAAGACCTCGAAACGTCGAGGCTCAGACTTGCAATTCAACTCCAGAGATTCTCTGCCTTCTGCTCCTTTTAGGCTCACGCCCGGAAAAGCCATCTGGACAAGCCTTCAGCGGTAGTCACCCTGTAGTCCATTCTTTCCATTTGTTTCAACGAAGCATTTCATTCCTTCCGTTCCTTCCGTTCATGTCCTGTCATGATATGTCATGTTAATTTACTTCCTTCAGTTCATGCCATTCATGCACTCATTCATTCCATGTCAATTTCATTGCATTCATTCCATTCCCTTCATTAATTCATTAATTCATGCATTCATTCATTCATTCATTCATTCATTCATTCATTCATTCATTCATTGCATGTCATTTCATGTATTTTCACCTTTTTTCATGTCATGATCATTCATTCATTCATTCATTAATTCGTTCACTCATTTCGTTCCTGTCATTTCATATCAGTCATGTAATTTTTATTTCATGTCAATGTCATTTCATTTCTTTCCATTTCATTCATTCAATCACTCATTCGTTCACTCGTATTCACTCATTCATTCATCCTGTTCATTCATTCGTTCATCCATTCATTAACCCCATTCATCCATCCATTCATGTATTCATGCCATCCAATGTCATTTCCGAGTCATTTCATGTCGTTCCAATCCATTTCATGCCATTCATTCCATTTCCGACTTAATTAATTCATTCCATGCATTGCATCTCATTCATTCCGTTTCAATCATTCCGATTCATTCATTCTTTCATTCCATTTCATTCGCTTCATGTCTTGTCATTTCATGTCTTTCATTCATTTCTTGTGTTCATTATCTAATTCATTCATTTGCTCATTGATTGGTTGATTCATTCAGTCATTCCACTCATTCCGTTCATTCCGTTCCGTTTCTTTCCATCCATTCATTCGTTCAATCATTCATTCGTTCATTGGTTCATGCCTTCATTCCTCCATGTATTCATCCGTTCATTCCATTCCATTTCATTCATTCATTCCTTCAATTCCTTCCATTCCATTCGTTCATTCATTCTTCATGTGCTTAATTTGTTTTTTCTGTCATTCGTTTAATCCATTCACTTGTTTCATTCATGCAGTCAGTCAGTAGTAGTAGTTGTTGTTGTTGTTGCATGTTATGTCGTTCATTTTCATGGCAGAGGCTGCATTTATTCAACTCTTTCAAACCGTTCATATAATGCATCAATTTCAACCATTAATTTCATTCCATCTCATTCATTCATTCATTGAATGATTCAGTTGCTTTTTTGAGGCATGAGTGCGCTTTCTTGTCACTCTTTCATTTCATCTGCTTCATTTCACGTCACTACATTTGTTCGATTTCTTGCATTGCATTTCATTCCACAATTCAATCGCTCATTCATTCACTTATCCAGCGGTTCCATTGGAGGAGTCCGTAGCTCAACTTGCTCTGCTCGGCCCGTGGCGAGGATGAGGAGCTCTTTGTCGTCCAGGTTGTCATACGGAACCTTGAAAGTCTTGCTTCACCCAACAACGTGTAGTGGGGACTGCCGCCATCACGGCCTCTGCACTGCCCGACGTCACAACGCCAGCCTCGGCACTCGCCGCGGAGACATGGGAAGCGCTGCGGCAGTTCGAATTCTTCCACCTCCTGGTTTTGAGACCGGCACCGGGCAAAAGGAGGAGCGCTGGCAAGTGCTTTCCGTGACGTTGATGTATCCACCTGCAATCACATCGCTTGCCGTACAAGGTGAGGAAGATAACACGAAGTGGAAGTACTGCGTCCAAGAACGAAGGTTGGGCCTTCACAGGAGAGGTACACCCCTTGGCCTGCAGAGCCCTTGGGGCACACCACCTGTGCGAATTGCATGTGCAACTTGACTCAGAAACTACCTTATATAAACTGCACTGGTGCAGAAGTGTCCTCATGCCTTCACCGTGCCCCCCTCTATCATCTTTCCATGGGATACCTGCTGCAACAAGTGCCAATGCGTGCCGGTGCATGCCACGGATGCGAGTTGTCCGAAATAGTCGTGGGTTTCTGAATGTAGAGACGGTGCAGCTTACGTTTTCCGTTTTTCTGTTGTGCAAAGGTTTCTGAAAGTTTGCACTCAGAGGCTGGCTTGGTTTGGCTTCTCCAGATGACTTCGACACCTTGAAAACTTCGCTGGTTAAGAATACTTAGTATGATATACTTAGTGCACACGTATCTGTGTGTATGCATAAATATAGACATTTATTCTGCATTTATGATTATCATAATGGCGGCAAATAGTGGCGGTAGCAGTAGTAGTAGTAGTAGTAGTAGTAGTAGTAGCTACATCATGCTCCCAGCCTTCGTGCACCATCTGAATCACGCAAATCCGTTGGAAGTGCAGTATGTGCGACACTGTAGGGCTGCAACCCTTCGCCAGGAAGGTCGCCAGCTGTTGGCTGGGCATACAGGGCGGGGCAACATGATCCACATCACGGGGATCTTATCACTAATCAAATGTCACTGCACAACGGGGTCGGCAGGCTCAGCTTCCCAGCCACCAAAGCAAGTACTACGCCATCGTGTACAAGCAGTGCCCAGAGATGCCGTCATTAGTAGGTGAGCCTTCGTGTGTGCATTTCGGCTTCCGCCTGCAGTCTACAGTCAAGCTGTTGTGGTGCACGGTCAGGCTGCACTTAGATGTGAAAGCCCGTGCCGAAGCTGTTCGGCCACAGCTTCGCCACCAACTGTTGACGGCTTGAAACACGGCAACAGCGAATGCTACAAGTACTGGTAGCCGCTGTTCAAACCGTAGGCAGATTGACTCAAGGGCCTCAGTTTGGAGAGCCAAGTGGCCACAGGTCAGGACAGCCTGTTTTCGGAGGCTACCGGAGAGCCAATTCACAGAGTACACGTTGCTGAAGTCTTTCCTCGTCGCCGGTTCGTCATTCGTCGGGCGGCAATTTGTGCAGTGTCGCCGGGCAGTGCACGTGGTCTTTTTGATGCGTTGCTTGCTTCAGCAAAGATCGTTCCTGTGTCGTGGCACGAGCAAAGTGTCGGCAATACAGTAAGAAGCCTACCGCCATCCCGGCAGCTCAACAAACGATCACAACAAAACACCGGAAGGCACACCACTGATAGTCGAGTCAGTCGCAAGCATTGTTCAAGTCTTCAAAGGGCCTCGACCGCGCCGTCGTCGACCCAAAGGCTGCCAGCCGTGTCGCAAGTGGCACGACAGGAGAACTCCCCATGTTTCTGCACCTTGTCTGCCGAAATCTTGGAGCAACTGACATTGAGTTGAAGGCTTTATGGCCGGGTTCGGTGCCACTGTACCATCCTGGCATTGCAGGAAATACTGGCCCTGCGCAGCGGCGAAATCAAGGCGAGGCTGTGAGAGTTGCACAGCCACTCCGCATGGGCATCATGGGCATCAATGCATGGAATGACCGACTGCGGTGTCATTCCCAAGGTCTTGGACAAAGGTCTTCGTCAAGGACGAAGGTCCCACATTTTTATTACCCTGACGACGGAAGCAAGCCTACTTCGTTACTCTGAGCATTCAACACACATCAACTGAGACGGCCTCAAAACCTTCCGGGCAAGAGCTGGGCTCCATGATGCCGTGGTCCATGGCGGAATGCTGCACAAGCGCATGGCCCTGACAGTTGCTCTTGGGTTGGCATGTCTGCAACG